GGGGGGGGAGAGGGGGTGTTAAAATGCTCTTTTGCCTGTGTAGGCAAAAATCCTTGCACCGACCCTGGGAGGAAGGCATTTGTAAGTCTGCACACAGTCTATGTATCAGTGGCACATTCACTAATAAAGTTCATTGAAAAGCAAACACTGACCTGTAGGAGTCTCTATAGCTGACTGTATCGTGTCCCGAGTCCTCCTGGTCCTCCTCCAATACCTTGAAACAAACCTTCTTGATTCCACCTGGTTCGGTCCTGTCCCCATCTCCATCCTCAACCACCAGAGAGGAGGGGGGGGTCTCACTTGTGGACATGGGCTCGGATGGGTTGTCCCGATCCAGGGGCTCAGTGATGGTGGACAGCAGCCTACAAGGTGAAGGGGGAGATGTTGCAATCAGGTCTAGAAAATGAACACTGTTATAGTTATATATAGTACAAGTTGTATTATTGGTCGGCTGTGACATGGGCAGACTTGAAGTACAATTAGGCCTCCAGCAGGTACACAGACTTACCACCAGGATCTTGGACTGGCAATGTTTAGATCTGACTGCCATGATGAAATAAAGCCCTGTGTACCCCAAATTTGCCACCAAACCACATGACAATGAATAATATAAGGAATTTATACCACCATTATATTAAATACACAGAAAATGGCACTGATCTTAAAAGCAGAACTTCCTCCGAACCTTTATGTGAAATAACTCATAGCAGCCAATCAGACAACATTTCTCATCACTGTGACCAATCAGCTTAGAGATGGAGGCTGCTATGAGTTACCACACACCACGCATCATGGAATAAGGGTGCCAAGCGTCTCACTTGTTGATCTGGGTGACATATTGCTTCATCTCCTTCAGAGCTACATCCAGCTTGTTGAAGAGCTGCAGGTAGGAGTCCTGAATCTCCATCTCATCGTGTTTCATCAGGAAGCTCAGACCATGATCCTCCGGGTTTATCCCTCCATTCATCTGAGGGAAGCTGCCATCTTGGCCATTCATCCCATCCTCTTCCTCTGTGCTCACACACCTCCAGGCTGGAGCCGCCATGCTGGCGATAGAGTGCTGCGCGTACAACATGGGGTTCAAACTGCCAACTGAAGATAGATAGAGGAACACCAAGGTCAGGTAAGGAACACATAACCGGAAGCCCCCAAAACTGTGATCATGCCCTCATCAACTGCCGCCATGTACAGAACACGGAGAAAAAGAGATGGGGGGATAGAAGAAGGAAAAGGGGGGGGGGGAAGAGATGGAAGAAGGAGAAGTACAGAACACGGAGAAAAAGAGATGGGGGGATAGAAGAAGGAAAAGGGGGGGGGGGAAGGAGGGGAAGAAGGAGAATGAGAAAGAGGGTTGGAAGAAAGAAAAATAAATGGAATAATAAAAAGGGGAGAGATGGAGGGGGGAGAGAGACGGTGAAGATATGGAAGAAGAGGAAGGTAGAAAGAGAGAGAACAGGAAAGTGAGAGAGATAGAAGAAGGTGAAGGAGACAGTGAAAAAGATGGAATAGGGAGAGGAGAGAGAAATGGAAGGAGAGAGAGAGAGATGGAAGAAGGAGAGGAGAGAGAGAGAGATGGAAGAAGGAGAGAGAGATGGAAGGAGAGAGAGATGGAAGGAGAGAGAGATGGAAGAAGGAGAGAGAGAGAGATGGAAGAGGGAGAGAGAGAGAGAGAGATGGAAGAAGGAGAGCAGAGAGAGATGGAAGAAGGAGAGCAGAGAGAGAGATGGAAGAAGGAGAGGAGAGAGAGATGGAAGAAGGAGAGGAGAGAGAGATGGAAGAAGGAGAGGAGAGAGAGATGGAAGAAGGAGAGGAGAGAGAGATGGAAGAAGGAGAGGAGAGAGAGATGGAAGAAGGAGAGAGAGAGAAATTGAAGAAGTAGAGGAGAGAGAGATGGAACAAAGAGAGAGATGGAACAAGGAGAGAGAGATGGAAGGAGAGAGAGAGAGATTGAAGAAGGAGAGAAGAGAGAAATTGAAGGAGAGGAGAGAGAGATGGAAGAAGGAGAGAGATGGAAGAAGGAGAGAGATGGAACAAGGAGAGAGAGAGATGGAAAAAAGAGAGGGGAGAAAGAAATGGAAGAAGGTGAAGGAGAAAAAGAGATTGAAGGAGAGAGAAAGAGATGGAAGAAGCAGAGGGAGATAGGAGATAGGGGAAGGAGACATGGACAGAGAGAGAGAGTAGAAAGTAGAGGAGGATAGAGGGAGTAAAATGGAGAGACAGATTGAAGAATGAGAGTGAGATAGATGTATAAGAATGTGAGAAGGTGTTGGCGCTGGCCCATTTAGGACACATTTTCCGGTTATATTTACTCGTAGAGCATTCTGGGTCCACATCTTACCTTGATCTGGATCCAGGCCGAAGAAGGAGTTTTTGCGGGCAAAGCGGATGCTGAAGGAGCGGCCCACGGAGGTGCTGGTTTTGGGGTAAGACACTTCCATGAGGTTAATGTGATAGTTGGTGGGACAGAAGTCCATACTGTGCAGCGGGTGAGTGTCGTTGGTCGCTTTTTTGAACGATGGACTCACTTTCATCTTCAACTCATCTGCAAACTGAGAGGCCATACAACACGTCAGATCTACGACTCCCCCAGTTTCTGCTTCTCAATAGAACATAAGAGTGTATTTTATTGTAGAGTGCGATTTGTACACTTCCCATATATCACTCACCTGTGGCTATCTAACGGGGCGGAGGAACAGTAATACACAGTCATCACCCAGCAATACCATCAGGAAGCGCTGCCTGCATAGGGCAGGAGGAAACATGGCTGCCCAATGTGCCAATATGATTATAAACTATATATAACGATACAAAGTTTATAAGACGTATCGTGTCAGCTCACCGAGGACACACTACGATCCCTCCACATGAAGGACAGGTGATGGATATGATTAATAGACACGGAACGATACAAAGGAGCGATATGCGAGGGAAGACACGTGAGGACGATATAAAGGTGAATAGGATGTTCTATACCAGTGGGGTCGGGACCCCGTCGGGGGTCGAATGACGATTTGCCAGGGGTCGCCTAGCGGCTTCCGGCCGCCCAGGAGTGAAGCGCTTTCTCTGCTCGTTTTTTTTCTGACAGGGTTAAAAGTAAACCTGCCGCTCCGTGTGCACAGTGAGAGGGGATAGCAGTCTTCCCCTCTCACCCGTCACAGAAGTTCCAGCACAGTGCTGTGCTAGGACTCCTGTCTTGGAGGTGACGGGGTCAATAAAGAGAACCTGTCACCTCCAATTGCTATTACACAGGGGCTTGTTACCTCTGTGTGATAGCAATGAAGTTAAGTGGAAAAAAAAATAGATGAAACAATTATTAAAAGAAATAAAAATAAAAGAATTAAAATTTAAAAAAAAAGCGATTAAAAAGAAATAAGAAAATTATAAAAAATAAACAATAATAAGGTGAGAGTCCTCCTCAGCCCTCTCCTAGCGCAGCAGTGTCAGTTCTCCCGCCACGCCGCCAGATGTCGCTGCAGAAGCCGCGTCATCCCGAAATTTTACCGTTGGGGGTCACCACAACTTGGCAAATGTTACCAAGGGGTCCCGGCCCTAGAAAGGTTGAGAACCACTGGTCTATACAGAAGAATATGAGAAGAGAAGGGACGGCCATGGAGCGCGGCGGTACCCTTACCTCCTTGTAGCTGGAGATCCGCCTCCTGATGTTCTCCAGCTTCGTGTCACAGATGTGCCGGAACTCATACTGCGGCATCGTCATCACCGACTTACTCATGGCGAGGAGCCTCATACAATTCTTCACAAACTGATTGTCATCCGCGATAAACGCCTGCAGGATCTGACACATGCAAACGCTGGTTAATATACATCTATAGAGACTTCAAAGAGATCAGACCAAAGCTTCAGCGAGGAGAATTTACATGGATCCTCCATCTCTCTGTAAGAGTGTTCCACCCGAAGGGGAATCTGTAAAGTGTAGTGAGATGACTCGGATCTTTCTTGTTACATTTGTGCGCGTCATGCGGAGTTATAAATAATGGAAAATCAGAACCTTCTGTTTAAAGCCCTAATGGGAAGCTGTATGGAGTCTGACCGCTTGGTGCTGGAAATATTCAAAATGGCCACCCACTTGACTTATGTATTAAACATTGATGCACTGATCATCAGTGAGTTATGAATGGTGGACAATCACTGCACAGAGAAAATCGGTGAGTCATGAATGGTGGACAATCACTGCACATGGAACATCGGTGAGTCATGAATGGTGGATAATCACTGCACAGGGAACATCGGTGAGCCATGAATGGTGGACAATCACTGCACAGAGATCAATGATGAGTCATGAATGGGGGACAATCACTGCACAGGGAACATCGGTGAGTCATGAATGGTGGACAATCACTGCACAGAGATCAATGGTGAGTCATGAATGGGGGACAATCACTGCACAGGGAACATCGGTGAGTCATGAATGGTGGACAATCACTGCACAGGGAACATTGGTGAGTCATGAATGATGGACAATCACTGCACAGGGAAAATCGGTGAGTCATGAATGATGGACAATCACTGCACAGAGATCAATGGTGAGTCATGAATGGTGGGCAATCACTGCACAGGGAACATCGGTGAGTCATGAATGGTGGACAATCACTGCACAGGGAACATCGGTGAGCCATGAATGGTGGACAATCACTGCACAGGGAACATCGGTGAGTCATGAATGGTGGATAATCACTGCACAGGGAACATCGGTGAGCCATGAATGGTGGACAATCACTGCACAGGGAACATCGGTGAGTCATGAATGGTGGACAATCACTGCACAGAGATCATCGGTGAGTCATGAATGGTGGACAATCACTGCACAGGGAACTGGAGAGATGAGTATAGCGTGCTCGGGGGTGGGCTTAAAACAAACCTGGTCACTAATGGGCAAGGTGACACGGTCTCTTTAAATACATTCTACTCCCTTTATTCTCATAAATAAAAGCACAACCTCCCCTAATAGTAATAGATCCTGAACCTTTCACTGTGCCTCCAGCATTTCTAGCAGAGAATAAATTACAGATGGCTGACAGGTCATGTGATGCCCACCAAACCATGTAAATAGCACAGATATTAGTGATGCACAGCGCCGCCCTGCAGGTTATGTGTGTGCAATGAGCCCAGACTGTACAGCATTCCCTTGATACAGAGAGATGGCAGATACCAGCGCTCCTCCACCTACTCTTACCTTGGCGGTGATTCCGAACAACCCTCGGGGCTCCACATTCTTCTCCAAGACGTGACACTTTATCCCGGTCGTGTTTGCATACTCGTACACCACGCCGTGCTCCAGCTGGATGTTTTCCACCGTCAGATTAATGAGAGGCCCATCCTCACCCACCGGGGAGGTCATATTACAGGTCATACCTGGAGCAGGGCCAACCGGAATATCGATAAGAAAGACCCAACACTCAGCAAACAAACTAGAATATAGACCACCGAGCAACTCTCCCCAAATCACAACAAGTGTATTACTGGGATGAAATCATCTGCAGATTATCTCAATAGATCGGTCAGGGTGTAGATCAGATGGAGCAATGCTCTGCAGGTCTGGAGAGGGGACAGGGGTGGGATAATCTGCAGGATATGTCAACATGGATTTGTCAGAGGGGAGATGGGACGGGGAAATGTTCATGCAGGTGTCTAGGGAGGCCAGGGGAGGAATAATCTGCAGACTATATCAATATGTATCTGTCAGGGGGGGGGGATGGGACGGGGAAATGTTCATGCGGGTGTCTAGAGAGGCCAGGGGTGGAATAATCTGCAGACTATATCAATATGTATCTGTCAGGGGGGGGGGATGGGACGGGGAAATGTTCATGCGGGTGTCTAGAGAGGCCAGGGGTGGAATAATCTGCAGACTATATCAATATGTATCTGTCAGGGGGGGGGGATGGGACGGGGAAATGTTCATGCGGGTGTCTAGAGAGGCCAGGGGTGGAATAATCTGCAGACTATATCAATATGTATCTGTCAGGGGGGGGGGATGGGACGGGGAAATGTTCATGCGGGTGTCTAGAGAGGCCAGGGGTGGAATAATCTGCAGACTATATCAATATGTATCTGTCAGGGGGGGGGGATGGGACGGGGAAATGTTCATGCGGGTGTCTAGAGAGGCCAGGGGTGGAATAATCTGCAGACTATATCAATATGTATCTGTCAGGGGGGGGGGATGGGACGGGGAAATGTTCATGCGGGTGTCTAGAGAGGCCAGGGGTGGAATAATCTGCAGACTATATCAATATGTATCTGTCAGGGGGGGGGGATGGGACGGGGAAATGTTCATGCGGGTGTCTAGAGAGGCCAGGGGTGGAATAATCTGCAGAATATATCAATATGTATCCATCTGGGGGGAAATGGGAGAGAGCGATGATCTGCAGTGATCTAGTATGGTCAGTGACGGAATCATCTGCAGAATCTATCAATTATGAATCTGTCGGGGGGGGATGGGATGGAGAAATGTTCATGCAGGTGTCTAGGGAGGCCAGGGGAGGAATAATCTGCAGACTATATCAATATGTATCCATGGGGGGGGGGGGGGGGGGTCAAGAGGCCAGGGGTGGGATAATCTGCAGAATATATCAATATGTATCAGTATGAAGGGAGCCGGGGGCAGTGCAATAGTCTGCAGACCTGTCAGGAGTAACATGACGCTGCTCCGCGATCAGAGGGAAAGACGTCACGGCACTGTGCGCGCTATTTATATAACGGGTGGAAGACGAGTGCAGCGAGAGGGATGAGGATTTCGGGGAAGCGGACGGCGCTCGTTAATAATAGATGATTTCCTATCACAGGAGTGGGAGCGCGGGGGCTTCAGGTTTATCGGTCAGTGGGGGAAAGAATAAAAAAAAGGAACGCCGCCGTTAACCCTTTCACCGCCAGAACCGAACGATGAGACACAGCCGCGATACGGACCGAGGGGACGTTGTGGTGTCTCAGCGCGGCCGCCGCGCGTGTCCCGGGGGTGTATCGGCCCCGCCGACCCATCAGCTGCCAAGGAATGAACCCGATTTAAAGGGGAGCTCTAACTGAAGGGTTAAAAGGTGCGCGAAGGGGTTTTTTATAAACACACTTGTCTGGCGTTTCCCTTTCCTTTTATTTTCTCACGTTTCGTACGACAAAATCAATAAAAAGAAGCACAAGGCGGTACCTGTCTGCCGGTCCGCGAGTCCTCCGCCCAGAGTGACATCGCCGTCCTCACACGCTCCGCCGTTCAGGCAATCGTCCGATGTACATCGCTGTTCTCTGTCCTCCTCGGCGTCCTCGTGAGTCCGATAAATCCACTGATAGAGGCCCTGCAATCACAGCACAGCACAGGGTGTAGTATTCTCATCATATCCGTGTGTGCGCTGGGGCTTGTAGTCCACCAGAAACACCCCCCACAGTCAGTGTGTAGAGACTCACCAGAGGATTTTGGGGGTTCTTGCGATAGGCCGCAAAGTGCTCGAGGACTTCCACGTGGCCGTCATGCATGACGTTGTTGCCGTTCACTTTCAGGACGCATTGTCCAGGGTGGAGGCCGACCGCTGCAGCATGCGAACCTGCAGACAACAACAAGAAAATAACGTTTCACTGCCGGAAACTCCCGAAAATATATCAATGGAAAGGACGGGGAACCCCGGCCTCTGAATGTCGGACCGGGAGAAGAAGGTCATAATGTATTCAAATAGGGGAGCACCTGTTGCTGGCTTGGCTTTGAAGCTCAATGCATGGACCCTTCGGGATAGATAGATAGATAATAGATAGATAATAGATAGATAGATAGATATGAGATAGATAGATAGATAGATAGATAGATAGATAGATAGAGAGATTTACATAGTGTACATTCACATCAGTCCCTGTCCTAGAGGAGCTTACAATCTGAGGTCCCTATTGCACATACAGATGAGGACCAATATAAACAGGAGCAAATTAAAGGAGAACTATGGGGTCAGGGCTTTTCCCCATAGTTCTCCTTAGGGTAACGGGAGGACACAAACTAGCGTCCTCCCGTCATCCTAAGCTCAGTATATAGGGAGCTACAGCTCGCGGTATGCTGAGACGCCGCAGCCGGAATGGAATTACTGTCTGGATCCGCCCAGCTGCGTGAGTGACAGCTGGCTCTGCCTATCTAGAGGCAGAGCCAGCTGTACCCGCCCCCTCCCATTCCGCCAGTCAGCGCTGGAGGATCGGAGAGGGGAGGATCGGAGAGGGGGGAATCCCTGCAGGGAGCCATGAGTGACAGTCACCTCTCTCTGCACGGATAGATCGAGAGGTGAGCGAACGTCGGTATGTGTACCCTCACCTCCCGATCTACTGAGCTGACCTGTGACAGTCTCATTGTCACAGGTCGGCTAGAACTATGAGGTGAGTGAAAAGCACCCCCCTCATAGTTCTCCTTTAACTTTGGAGTGTGGGAGGAAACCGGAGTACCTGGAGGAAGCCCACGCAAGTAAAAGAAGAACACGCAAACTCCATGCAGAGAGTGTCCTGGCTGGGATTGGAACCGGGGACCCTCCCAGTGCTGCAAGGTGGAAGTGTTAACCACTGAGCCACTATCCAATATAACAGACAGACTTCCCCAGACAGTTGAAGGTAAATATGGCGAGCAGGTGAACACACATCCGCCCCTGGAATGTTCTGCCTTGCGGAGATTTATTGCCGTACACCGCATTCCCACACTAGAGGGACCCCCCCCCCCCCACCCCCCCGCTCCGACCGGCCCCGCCGGCCC